ACAATAATAACTTTGGGCTAACAGAAAGGAGGAGAAAACGACTTACTAAAGAGCTGTACCCAGTACTTTTTCATGATTTAAAAACATCAGTTTTCTGTTTTCTTCTATCTGCTCTACAGTGTTAATTTAAGGTATAATCAATAAATAAATCTTCTGTTGTTTTCTGATGGTTCAATATACAAACATGCAGGAAATTGTTTTCACTGACAGGAAATTCCTCTCTAATATTCTCATCTGTTTTCATAGATAGTTTGAAGCCCACAGAGGCAAAAAAATAAAAGATAAAGACTTAACACAATAAAATTGATGAAGACAAATGCTGAAATGTTAAAAAAACATTGCTGTTAATTCCAGTCAACAATACTACACCTACCTGCACATCTGGAACAGAAATGGTCCTATCGCTGAAATATTTTGCCGTCAAACAGCGATTCTCCCACAGCTCTGAAGCACTGACAGCTTCAGGTTGATCTATTTAAGGCTCCATCCAGCTAGTGGAAAGTTCTAATCCTATAAACTCAGCCCTAATCCAAAATCACTTTAAGCACATACATGATTAAACAGAATGTGCAAAGCTAGTGGCTAACATATGTTAGCCTGCTAGAAGGCAAAGGCATTTGCCAGAATATAAATAAGATACAGCTGTAGAACTTACTTTGTAATAGCATTTTATTTAAGGTGTAATATATACTTTTTCAAAATAAGCAAAATGTCACAAACAGTTACTGTTATCTGGCCAAGAATTTCATTATTACATCTTAATATTTTATACATACATATATATATATATATATATATGAGATATATCTATAGGAACTATTTCAGAATTCTTTAAAAAAAAAAAACCAGATAAAACTTTCTACATACTAAAGAGGACAATCAACCTTGTTATTAGTGCTCATACCCATTAGTGGTATGGCGGTACATCATTGCCTGCGGAATTGGCAGCTTGTACATCTAGAAAAGTACCGCCAGTGCTGAAATGTATACACAGGTTTTAGAGCAATAAATGCTCCCATGTATGTAATGTTTTGTTCAGGGAAAGCTGTGCATATTTTAGCAAGACAATGCTAAACTACTAAAGACTCTGAGTGCTAAACCGGCCTGCCTACAGTCCAGATGTTTCACCAGCTGCAAACATGTTGCACAGTTGTGCATCATAATATGAAAAAAAAAATATAGCAAAGACAACCCAGCACTGTTGAGCAGCTATAATCCTGTGTCAGGCAAAAAATAGGACGACATTATACCACCAAAAGTTCAGTGATTGCCATAAATTTTAAAATGAGAAGCTTCAATTTACAACCTAACTATATATTTATATTGGGATTGTATCTTTTGCACTGTAACTGGGTTTATGACCTTCACTAAAGTAAATCATCATTATACAAAACACAGTTTGAACCTACACTTAATAAACTAATAATAAAGATTATGAATATTCCCCGATAGCTGTCTATAATTCAGATTACAAGATCTGACTGGAAATTACACTTGAGGTTAAGCCCTAAACCAGCAGATTTATTTAGGGTATATAGAACAACACCTGAATGATACGGAGATGTCCTCATGGTAGTGCTACAGTTCAGCATCTGTTTCTGTACCTCTGCTTCTTTCTTTATTAGTGCTGACACAGTGAAAGAGCAACCTGACAGTTTTGTTTTTCTTTCATTTATTAAATTCCTTTTTGGCATTACTAATAAAGAGGAACAACCATTAAAACTGTTAGAGCTATGCAGTACTGCATGTTCAAAAGTCATGAAAAATACAGAGTTTCCCCCTTCTTATTTTTAGAGGAACCCTTTATGCAAAATAACTAGCACCTGCTAAGCGTCAGATGTTATTTTAGGTTCCATCTGTGAGTAACTCCTCATCTATTTGACAGCAGGGGACAATTGTTTTACTTCTATACCAGATTTTCTCAACCATAACTTACTGTCACAGCTGGGTGACACCTTGACATTAGAACCAAGTTGCTAGGAAACCTGTGGGCAAGATGTAGTTAATGTGTTACAGTTTGTTTTTTTGTTTTTTACATGTCTGTTTCTGTGTGGATCAAAAAAACAAAATGTATGGTTATAGTCCTGAACTTTGGGCAGACAGACAGAGCAATTGCTTTCGTCTTTGCAATACCACATGTAAGCTGCGAGCCTGTGTCTGTGGTATTGATCTTATCTATTAAAAGCAAAGTTCTCAAAATAGCCCACCACACGAATAGTGCATGAACATGAACTTTGATGTTCACTTTAATTAAACATACATTTCTTAGTCAAGCTTAAAGTCTTTTTAACCCTTTCATGCATGCATATGACAACCTCAATCAGGTTTTTTTTTAAATTATTTTTATTCATCTTTAGGCATGCAAACAAGATTTTTGAACTTCATTTTTTTAAACATTTAGTTTTCTACATGTCCACTTAGGTGCACAACATATGTTTTGACTGGGTGGCAGGGTATGGAGTGACACATCAGTGTCCAATGTAGTGGTTTATATGCAAGTGTGCTGGAATACAAACCACTATGCATGAAAGGGTTAAAGCCACAGTATGATCTTAGCTAGTTGTACATGCTACTTATTTCTTCACATGATATGCCAGCTCATGCAGCCGTGTACAGTATACACTAGTCCATCTTAATGCAAAAATCAGAACGGCAAATATGCAGCAAAATGAAATTCTACATTATATATTCACAGCTTTTTATTGTCTTTGTACTTGATCAAAAAGACGTACAGGGTGGTGCTGTCAGTAGCACTGTTGTCGCCCAGCAAAAACGTCCTAGGTTTGAAACCAGCCTGGGGCCTTTCTGTGTGGTGTTTGCACATTCTCTGCTGGTTCCCTCTGAACATTCTGACTTCCTCCTACTGAAATTGAAAGCTTTGAGGTGACTAACTTTGTCCTCACCTCACTTTACTGCTGCTTTTCTAAGTTTCACCATTGCCCTTCTCTTTGGCCCATTTTCTTTTTCCTGTATGCTGCTTTGCTTATCAACAAGGAGACTCACTTTTTGAGAAGTCCGCAAATGATTTGTTCATTCACCTCTCATTTGAATCAGCCGTTCACCTGAGAGGTGACAAATAGTGAGCCATTCATCACCTGTTTGGTACACCTGATACATTTAAAACCGCTCACATAGGCTCCTGCACTGCTGTAAACAACAGTTTCCTAATAAAACCACTAGATGTCAACATAGAGTAAAATATCACAGCAGCCTTTAATAACACGGAACACATTTTGCTGCACAAACTGGAATACTAGTCAAACTTCTTGACAAAAGTCATCAGTTTGTTTATTTCTGTCTTTGCAGTTCATTCCTTTATTAAGCTATACTATAGCAACAACTGCTAAAATACAACATAGGTGTAACATTTCTTAATTATTGTCACACTTGACTTACGGAACCCTTTTTTGATC